CTTCTTCTTCTTCTTCTCTCTCTCTCTCTCTTTCTCTCTCTCTCTCTCTCTCTCTCTCTCTCTCTCTCAGTCTTCTTTCTCTCTCTCTCTCATTTCTCATCCCATCCCATCCTCTCCTCCCTCCATCCCCCTCTCTCACTTTCTATCTGTTTGTTTGTCTATCTGTTTGTCTGTCTGTCTGCCTCTGTCTGTCTGTCTCTCTTGTTGTCTCCGTCCATCTCCCCCTCTCTTTCTCTCTCCCTGTCTTTCTTCCCCTCTTCTTCAATTTCTCCTTTCTCCTCCTTCTCTTTCTCTTACCCTCTCCTCCCCCTCCCTCTTTCTCCCTCTCTCTCTCTTTCCCTCTCCTCCACCTCCCTCTTTCTCCCTCTCTCTCTCTTTCCCTCTCTCTCCCTTCCTCCCTCTCTCCTTCCCTCTCTCTCTCTTTCCCTCTCTCTCCTTTCCTCCCTCTTTCTCCCTCTCTCTCTCTTTCCCTCTCTCTCCCTTCTTCCCTCTCTCCTTCCCTCTCCTCCTATTACACAATCCCAATCGCCCACTCCGGCACCCCCCCCCCATCTCCGCCACAACACTCGGAGGGCCAATCAGACTGTGCCAATTTCGCCGCGCGTCAGATCACGTGATATGATTAATTTACTGAGCAGTGCCCTTTGTCGCTCTCTCTTCCCTCTCTTTATCTCCTTTTCTCTATTTTGTTTTTGTTTTTCTTTCTCTCTCTGTTTGTCTAGTTGTATGTTTGTTTGTATATTTGTTTGTGTTTAAACAAAAAAAATCTTTCTTTCTCTTACTATCTTTCTCTATTTTTTTTCTTTCTCTTCCATTCTCCCTCTTTCTCTCTCTCTTTCTCTTTCCTTTTCTCCCATTGTCTTTTTTTTTCTCTTTCCCTTGTTCTAGCCTTCCCTTCCTTCGTCCTTTTCCCCGTCTTTGCCTCTTTCTTTCTCTCTTTTCTTTTCTCTCTTTTTCTCTCTTTCCTTCTCTTCTTTAGCTTTCCCCCTCTCCCCCTCCTTCCTCTCCCTCCTTCATTCATTTTCTCTCGCTTTCCTCCCCTTCCTTCCCCTCCTTTCTCCCCTCCTCCCCGACACGCAGCCCACCTATAGCAACGTCAACGTCCTAGTGGGCTGGTGGGCTTGCAGGTCGGTGGGTTGATGGGCTGGTGGGTTGATGGGCTGGTGGGTTGATGGGCTGGTGGGTTGATGGGTTGATGGGCTGATGAGCTGGTGGGCTGGTGGGTTGATGGGTTCATATGTTACTGGGCTGGCGGGTTGGCGGGCTGCTGGGTTCATGGGTTAGTGTACTGGTGGGTTGGTGGGTTCATGGGCTGGTGGGTTGCTGTGTTCATATATTAGTGGGCTGGAGGATTGGTGGGTTGATGGGCTGGTGGGTTGGTGGATTGCTGGGTTCATATATTAGTGGGCTGGAGGATTGGCGGGTTGATGGGCTGGTGGGTTGGTGGGTTGGTGGGTTCCTC